GAGAGAGAGAGAGAGAGAGAAAGAGAGAGCGAGAGAGAGTGAGGAGACTGTGGTAGATTGAGATGGAGGAGAACAAGAGAGAAGGATGGGGAAAGAAACGAAGAACGAGAGAACTAGGGGAGGAGGCGGAGTTGTGGAAGGAAGTGAGGAGAGGAGGAGGGGTGGTGCAGGAGGAGACGGGGAGAGGCAGATGACGGGGAAGGGCAGGGTAAGAGAAGAGCATGGGGAGAATGTGGAGGAGTAGGGAGCTAATAAACTAGTGTAGGAGGGGAGGAGGGCGGAGGAAGGAGAAGGTAGAAGAGGATGGAGGGGGGTAGTGGGAGAAGGTAGAGGAGAAGTATGGAGGAGTTACTTGGGAAGGAATGAGGTAAATGAGGAAGAAGGTGGTAGACGAGGAGGGAAGGGAATAGGGGGAGAAAGGTGGTAGATGAGGTAGGTATGGGAGGGGAATATGCGGCAGGAGATGGCGTATGGAGTGGGAGAGTACAGCAGTAGTAAACCGAGGTTGACTTTTTTCCGCGCGACAAATTTTCCGATGACCAGTTTTCCTGTGACCAGTTTTTCCTGTGACCAGTTTTCCTGTGACCAGTTTTCCGGCGACCAATTTGCCAACACCCAAACCCTTAATACTTCTAGCCGGTGGTGATGGTAGTTAGGGTGATGTAAAGTTCATAGAACTGGGCCACGGCAATATAGCTTCTCATCTATTCGTTTTATTTTCAACGTGAACTCGGGTCAACCTTCGAACCCTCGGGCACTTCCTTCGAATAAAAACTTCACTCACTACTCGCTTCTTTCGCAATGCGCACATCCTCCGCATTTGTGCTCGCGGAGTAAGAGAGAGAGAGGAACATCAGAGCAGATGCCGCGCACGTGGCATTTTTATTTCGTATTTACTTCGTACGTTCGGCATTGCTTCGCCCCCTACGCGTTGACATGGTGCTGGTGCTTGCTACTTCCATAATCCGCGTACACGCGTAGACGCGAGACCAATAAAATCCATGCAACCAGTGGATTTGCTTATCGAGCCAAGAAAATCTGCGTTATGTTCATGCGCGTATCGGCGTCTGCTGTTCATTATAGAAATTCTGCTTTATTTACACCTTCTATCGCGTTTAAATGTGAGATTGAAATCTTTGACGATTAATATATCAATCTTATAATATGAATCTTATCTTATAATATAATCAATTATAATCTATTCTATATCTTCTCTCTTCTTCAGCTATTCTATAACTTTAATAAAATAAGAAACTATACAAATGGAAACGGATATTTTCAAGCCACTGATACGCAAAGATATACGAAAATGACTTTCGGGCAACAATTTCTTATCCACTATTATTAATAATAATGATAATACTAAAAATAAGCATCATAACAATAAAAAAATACTAGTAATGATAATCACATTACACATAATATTATGCGAATAACTCTCATAGTGGTTTATGAAGAATACACAAAACTCCAAACATGCTCGTAACATATAACGTATCACGTATCGATAACATATACACCCTCTAACATATAACATATCGAAACATATACACCCTCTAACATATAACATATCGAAACATATGACGAAATAGAACAGGAGCGTGGTTCGACCCCGTGCTTGGCACTAACTCGCTCTTCCATTACAAGTTCACACAATGGGTGGCACATCCCTAGCAACGTGCGGGTGTAATGTGTATCCTATACACTATATATATAATGTATATGTATATATAACATGATATTATACATGGTTCATACAGAACTGAAAAATTGTTCAAGAACATTTTATCAGAAATTCAAGGACATTTTATCGGAATTCATACACAGAACAAAACATACCGGAATTAATTTAATAACCCCATTCTTAATCACTGTCACGGTGTCACCTCTAAAACCTACCCGGATCACATTAATAAACCCTTCTAAACACTGTCACTTCTACAACATACATTGATTTACTGACTGATTTTACCGACTTAATGTAATTTGTGATCATCAGTTAACTGTCTATCGTGTCTATAGCTTTTTAAGCTCATTTAACGCAATTTTTATTGAGGTTTGCACATTATTGATGGTACAAAATGTCGTTTTATTACAGGCAAGGATTCTTTCTACAAATTCAAGAACATTTTCATGAAATTCAAGGACTTTTCAAGCACGAAATCAACATTTACTAAATTCAAGTACTTTTCAAGGACTCCCCTCAAATTCAAGGACTTTTCAAGGACTGTGCGAACCATGTAATATATATCACAACCGCGATCAGAGGAAAATCATCCGCGCGTAAAACATATCATAGTAACGCATAACAGGGACGGCATAACGCACAGCGACACCGCGCCTACCCGTCATCACGTTGTTACATAATGATCCTATCCTAATCCACCTTCTGCAATAATCCCCACCCCCCACCTCCTACCCACCCACGCCACATGCGTGTAAGTGTGCGGTAATTAGTAGGTGATTACGTAAGTACAGGCGACATGTTGTATGAAAAGCGCGCGGTATTAGCGGCAATAGTCGGCAGGAATACATAGTGTGGATTTCGCAACGCATTTATAACCTTGTAAGTATTAGTCTTCAAAGTCTAAGAGACTATACCGAAGACGGAGAAAGACGAAGTTGATCTCAAATAGACAGATCAACACTGCAGACCTCAGTAGAAAAAGCCTCAAGTTTGCGACTAACTAAAGAAGAAGGGAGAGAATTCCAATACGAAATGACAGAAACAAAGAAGCCAAACTTAAAGTGATCCTTTGAAGGTGGCATTCATGCATTCTGAATATCTCTACTTACTAAAACACCTGACACACGCAATACTCATATTACGGGATAAAAATGTCAAAAGTACACCAGAAATAACTATATTTTAATAACCTTTATACACCACAGACAAATAAACTCGTGAATCAAGTGTGACAATAAACAAATAAACAAACAAATAAACAAACAAACAAACAATCATCACCAAGTGATGCGCATTGCATTGCAATATATTATATATACAAATACGAACGCGAAATAAATGCGAATACAATATACATTACAATATAACGCACGCATCATATAATTATTCTCCCGATCCTACGTACAATTTACTTAATAAGCTTAAATAAAACTAACTAGTAAAGTAATACTTACCAGGTCACCACCGGATGCAAATGAGATTCCCTGCATCTGATGCGTGGCAATGATCTGCAATATATCCAATATATTTGATTATCATAACAAAAGTACGCGGAATAGCCAAAAAATGAAAGCCACAAATAAATCGTGACCAAGTAATTAAAGAACACAGCACAAAATATTATCACGATTAAATATAAATGATAGCTTATTACCCGAATGTATACCTATAATAGTACTTAATATACACACTATATGTATTCACTATATATTCATCCTTGTAGGCAGAGAAACCCACACATCCACTGAAGTTCTCAAAGATTCTCAAAGATTTTATTTATAATTACCTCTCCTGATTCCATGATGACGAGTCCAAGATTGTCTGTGCTGATGGTGAAGTTGATGTTGGAACCAGCATGAATCATATTTGGTCTCTCCGCGAGCATCTTGGTGATGCGTTTGTCCAGCTGCTAAAAAGTAAAAAACAACAACATGGTCCCCTGTTCCGTAATAATAACACTGCGTAATATGCAAATAGTTTCAAAACTAGTATCTATGGCCAAGTTTAACCTAGTGTACTAAAGAGTATAATATATACATATATATATATATATATACATGATATCAGGAGTAAATAGTCTCAAACTAATCTTTGAGATTATTTACTCCTAATGAAATAATTGTAATTGATACTACTAGGAGAGAAAACGTATCAGCGACCACAAAGACGTCTCACGTGTATATCCTTTTTTGTATTTCTAAACAATATAGCGATATAAAAAACGCGAGTTTTTTGCAGTGAATGTCCGAACCATTCAGGATCCGAAAAACTGAAAACTTGGTCACAATCAAATTTACAAGGAGTATAATACCCATGTCCTGTATTTTAAACACATAACAGTGACAACAAGCTGATCTCGAAATCTTGATATCATGAAATGTTATGAGTTTGTCGTTTCTCACACGCTCAGCATATAGCGAAACTTGAGCGTGAGAAAATACACAAAATTGCACGATCACGTGTGCATAAAAACACTGCGTTGCATAATTCCGCTGCGTTAAAAACTAAAATAACGTTATACATCATACTTACATATAATTACGCCTGTGTTGCCACGATATCATAATACGATAAATACTGACTAGTCTCTAACAACCACTTGTAAGTGTCTATGCCACTGACGGAGTACCTTAAGCTGAGAAACGCTGGTTGATATTTGAAGTAAACAGTTTACTGGCAGTTGCAAATCCATCTATCACGAGCAATCCGAATCGCCACGTAATCGCACTAGAAACGCAATAGCTCATACATTATCACGTAACAAACAAGCCGGTTATAATCGTAGGGCGACATTATAAAGTGACATTACCCCTCTAGGTTTAATGCACATTTTTAATTAAATCGGGTCTAAATTATGCAACATGCACAATTTTGTCGTTCATATGTTTACCATAAAATGTTTTATGTTCAATTGTTTTAAAAACTTTCGATGACGCGGACGAACGCTAGTGGCGCCACCACACGCGAAGTTGTGCAACGCAACATTTTAACCACAAGCTTCATATCGAAGGCGTTTCTTATCGACTAATTAAGGGAAAGAAAGATCGCGATATTTTATTATCTATATTTCTATATTACCTTTCAGTTAGAGTGGGCATGTATCTATCGTATACAAGAAGCCTGAAATAATTACATTTTACTATCTAAATTCCAGTCAGAAATGTTCCAAACAAACATTGCAGCAAGCGCGACTTTGCAACAAACAAACAAACAAACAAACAAACAACAAACAAACATTGCGACAAGTGCGACTTCGCCAGTGAGATCAAGGACACTCGTACCGTGTCATAGAAACATCCAAAATTTTCCCTTCTTCGATGTTTATAAACAAAATTTAAGACGAGAAAACGGAAATATGTAGTAGGCACATATACTGTTTTATACATCAGAATTTAAAATACCCCCCCTCTAAAATCCTACAAGATCTCTACGTGAAAATGTCACAGTGACGGTCATTCACCCCTCGACGCTACATACACTCGCTACCGAAGCGACCTTTAGACAGCTAGTACGGGTATGCTACGAACACAGACGTATTTACGGCTTTCCTACGTAGGTATGACTCCCACGCCCACTCCCTCTCAGCAGGTATCACTCCCATCGCCAGATATTACGGTAATTAGACGAGCCTGAAGTAATAAAAGCCATCGGCAGTAAGATTTCGTTTGAACGAAAATACGAGAAAACCGAAGAAGGTTATCACTTATCACGCGTGCATCTGTGAGTGTGTTGGGAATGATGACGTCAGCGTATCAGCCCGCACGCACCACGACGTACACGATATTGGGTGTGCCAGCGCACGGGTGGGTGTTCCTTCACTTCATAATATCAGGAGTGGATAATAGAGATCGATATTAGCCACCCCTGATAATATCATCGCGATTACATTCATGCTTCTTGGATGAGAATTGAGAACCCGTACGAACGACTCCATTACATTTATTCACGACAGAAGGGAATTCAGGAACCACGGGTAAGCTATATATACGTTACAAAGGTGCGCACTCCCATCAATGACGTCAGAAAAGGGATACATGAGGCCATAATAAAAATACTGTTTGTTTGCCCTCACCCGACCGACCCGCCAAAAAGGGATCGACTCAAAATGTTATTGAACTTTTTTTTTACAAATTGTATCAGTGTACATGATTATATGAATCTTTAGGCAATACATTATATGATTATATGTACCAAGCAAAACAAACATTCAACATAAAAGGTATCTCCACACAAGCACACCCGAGCATGTAGACGCCATGCTAAATTTGTAAAAAAAAAACCTTAAAAAAACCTGGGTCGGGTGAGGGCAAACAACTATTTTTTTAATTGTGGCCTGAACAGGATGGCTGAGGTAATATATGCAGCTGTGCGGGTGAACCCAACAAAGTCTCATCAACGAAATAGTGACGTTAGCGTATACGATGTGTGTGTGTGTGTGTGTGTGTGTGTGTGTGTGCGTGTGTGTGTGTATGTGTGTGTGTGTGTGTGTGTGTGTGAGGAGAGAGAGAAAGGGAATGAGAGCCTGTGTGTGTGCGTGCCTGCGTGTGTGCGTGTGTGCGTGTCTGCGTGTGTGCGTGCATGCGTGTCTGCGTGTGTGCGCGTATATATATATGTGTACATCTGTGAGGATGGGGTAACGGAAATAAAAATTGTATTTAAATTGTAATGTAATAATTAATCATTATAACGTACACATCAAGAGAAACACATTTCTGTTATGAAAATTTAAAATGGCTTATCAACGGCTACGTACTTGGAGGATAAGGTTTTATCGTTCCGTACAGCGATTTACTTGCTAATTCAACATTTATATAAACTTAGAATAACAGATGACACTATGCTCGCTTACCTTGCAACTCTAGTTCTCGTGTCAAAATCGAGACTTTTCATAGAGGTTTTGACTTCCACGCATCCGACATACTGCAACAGAAATAACGAACCAGGTTTAATTAAAATTACATTTATGAAACGCAGACAAACAATTGAACGTAATTACGAAATATATCCGCTTTACATACTCACATATGAATCAGAAACTCGTCGGTATTTATCTCGATTTCTGTTTATAATAAGTAATAATTAAACGCTCCGTATGTTTAATAACGGCGTGTTACTAGAATACACTTTCCGCGGGCGAAACAAAAGAAGGTGACGTTAAAATTAATCAACGAGGGAAACCATTAAAGTTCAGTGGCCTCTCTATCTCTCTCTCCATCTCTCTCTCCCTCTCTCTCTCTCTCTCTCGAACATACGCCGGGTAAACGAGCCTGATTCGTAGCAACAGCGCAACATTGATGACGACAGTATAGAGTTCCCCGCACACTGCCCCCTCCTCCTCGGCGGGCCGCCACAACTTGGCAATTATCCAAAACAGCAGCCGGAAATACGTAAATCCGATCCAACTGCCGCATGTTATGTGGAGTTGCAGGTTTCGCCTCTCACTACTGCCCACGCCTTCAACCACCAACGTCAGCAAGCAAGCCAGCCAGAGATGCTATAGCATTCACGTGTAGCCAACGCGCGCGCGCATACACGTGTACATGGGTGCGCGCATACACGCGTTATAACGGTACATGGGTGCGCGCGTACACGCGTTATAACGTGTACATGGGTGCGCGCATACACGCGTTATAACGTGTACATGGGTGCGCGCGTACACGCGTTATAACGGTACATGGGTGCGCGCGTACACGCGTTATAACGGTACATGGGTGCGCGCGTACACGCGTTATGTTATAACGTGTACACTGTGCGCGCATACACCGTTATAACGGTACATGGGTCGCGCATACACGCGTATAACGTGTACATGGTGCTGCGCATACACGGCGTTAGTAAGGTAATGGGTGCGCGCATACCGCGATAACGTTACACTGGGTGGGCGCATACACGCGTTTATAAACGGTACCAATGGGTGCGCGCATACACGCGTTATAACGGTACATGGGTGCGCGCATACACGCGTTATAACGGTACATGGGTGCGCGCATACACGCGTTATAAGCGTGTAGCATGGTGCGTACATACACGCGTTATAACGGTACATGGGTCGCGGCGCATACACGCGTTAATAACGGTAAACATGGGTGGCGCGCAATGACCCGCAACGTTATACCGTGTACATTGGAG